GGGCTAAACGTTACTCCAAATGTTACTCTTGACATACGTAATTCAACGACTGGAGGCAATTTCGAAAACGATTCTGATAACGTCTCGTACCAAAAGAATCGGTGTGTATCTCGATCTGCTTCATCAATGGATATTTGTAAGAACGCCTTCTCGATGTCAGCAATTATCGCAATATGGTAGCACCGAAATCGCAGCAAAATCGACATTAAGTCAGCCAATAAATTCTCACCTGGGCTTAGATGGTCATTAAGGGAAGCGAGGTCATTTTCACTTGACGATGCGTCGAAAACAATACGCATTTTCGTTGTTGTTTTGTCTTCTCTGTATACTGGTCGATGAGGCATATAATAAGCGATTTGATCATTATGATTAGCTAATACGCGCTCCGCGATTCCGGCATTAAGGAGTTCTCTGATACCGCAGTCGTACTCAATTAATTTTTCGCGATTTTTCATTAGTTTAATCGTTAGCCCACGGAGCCGGTTCAGTGCATTCGATTTGTTATTATGTAAAGTCTCTTTCGGAATCTTCCATGGCAAACTCACCGAATAGCGCATTACTATTTTTTCGATTTGCACGTCGTGCACAGCGGATGCGTTTTCATTATAAACTGCGATACCGATAGCTTCTAAGTCCCAAAACTTGGTAACATCAACTTGCTCTTCGCGATTCTCAATTATGCTTAACGCGCACTTAGAATTCTCATTGTAGCCGCAGCAGCCTTGTATGGTCCATCCAAAGAAAGTATCTACTGCCACTAAATTCTCACCGATATTATCGTTAGTATCCAGGTGAAATTTCCAATAGTTATCTTGGCCAATTAGAAGATTAATGCCACCAATTAAGTTTTCGCTAGATATTCTTTTAATTTTGCTTGCAAATGCATAAACGAGCGACCCTCGAAGCGCGGCTCGGGTAAAACGTCCGCGCATATTATCGGCACCACGGAAGCACATATTTCAATCATCTGGTCCGAATATTGACTTTGCACTTTGACATTTACGCGTCTCAACCGAGTTAACTGCTTTCGCTGGTTATTTTCACCGAATGCAAATATGCGGGCTTGGTCGTAACCGACGGTTGTTAGTTTTAGGTAATTCGCCAAAGATTCGCTCACGTAGGTGCCTTGACTGCCATTGTCCATTATTATTCGTGAAAGCACTCTTTTAGTTTCGCTCGACAAAATGGCTTTCGCGGTTTGCAAATAAATATCATTACTTTCCGGACGCGCTACCGAATGTAATGTAGTGGAGGTACTATTTACCACCGCGACCGAACTGCTGGAGGTCTGGTGCTCTCCCAACGGAGGAATAGCAGTTTCATATCTTTTAGTTTTAGCTTCGCACAATGGCGTTATATGTCGGCCATTACAGTTGTTGCATTTCAGCCATTGATTTTTGCAAAACTTCGAACTGTGATTAGGCTTAGCGAAACGATAACACCTACCTTCTCGCTTTAATATATGTTTTCGCTGTTCGATGTCCATGTTTTCTTTGCAATCTTTTATGTCGTGATTTGATCGTTTACAAAAAATACACGGCTTGCGAACTACATTTGTACTGGTATATAAGCCCACAGCGGTTCCGTTAACTATTTTTGTGTTTTTACGCTCTGCGTCGCTCCTTTTGTTTTCTGCTTCTGGCTTTTTCCAGCGCTTCAACTTCCAGTTTTATAAACTCCAGCAACTTTGTTATTTGCTCACTATCAACGGCACTCTCTTGCTCTTTGTCGATAACTGTAGAGTTCAAAAGCTTATTTGAGGCTCTCCCTTTTGATTTATGAAACTCAATGCGCAACTCCGCAGGTATAGCTTTCAGAAGAACGGAGTTTACCATTATGTTGTACTGCGACGAGGGAACTTCCAATGCAGTGAGCGATCTCATTGTGGATGTTGTTTCATTATACAAGAACCGCAAACCTTTCACATCACTCGCTGAATGTACCATTTTTACGCTCAGAATCTTTTGTATATACTTCTCGATCATTTTGTCTTTGTCGCCGTATTCTTCAAGCAGAAGTTGAATTGCATCTTTGTAGCAATTCTCCGTTGGCATAAATCCCGCTATAGTCGATGCTGCCTTACCTACGAGGGCTTCGCATAAGTAGTTAAATTTCGAGGCTACGTCCAATTTTGGATTTTCGTGTATAGCGTGCTTATATTGTTCCCAGAAGAGTAACCAGTTTTCCAATTTTCCATCAAATTTCTTGAGCTCCATCGGCTTTAGTTTTGCTCCTCGATAATCGGCATGCTCACCGCCATTGGCCGATTCTTGGATCTTTCGAGAATCCGCTGCTGACAAACGCTGTAATTTAAATTCCAGTTTCGCTATAATGCTTACAGCTTTGTCGTCATACTCAAATACCGTTTCCAGCTCCCTTTCTTTTTCGTCATCGCCAAGGACTGCTAATGTCGCTTCATCTACCCTTTTTAATTTTTCGTGAACGTTTTTTATACGCTCAAGATAATTATTAAGGGCGTCCACCAAATTATCGACTTCACCTTCTGCAGCAGCCCTTAATTGGCCTTCTGCCGCATTGCAGAGTTTGGTCAGTTGGGTTCTGCAAGTTGCGCGATAAACTAAGTCCATTTTTCAAAGAAGTCGCTTCCTAGCTCGCACGAAAAATATTCTCCGCTAAAATTATAAAAATTAAGAATATTCACAGCCGTCCCTGGTTTCGGCACCATGTGAAAAAACGTTTGCTATACAAACCACGTGAACCGTATTAAAGAAAAGACGGCTGTATGCTGCGAGTGTGAATTTATTACTAACTCAAGTAAAGCCACCAATTCAACAGGAAAGCTCTTAGCCTCTCTCAAAATAAAGTAATTAGTTACAGTTATTAATTGACAATTACAAAGTACTTACTGAGTGTTGTAGGTCTTGATCCAATTTTATACAGAACATCGATAATTGCTAGTTGGAGACCGTGCGCAAAGCACAGCTGCTGGTATGGTTCTATAAGCCTTCCGACTTTAATCATCGTACTTGCTCCATCCGTTGTTATAGCTACAATATTTTGGTCAAGATTCAATTGAAAATCAAGTAAACGCTCTTGCAATTTTTCGACACACACTTCAGCTGTCATTGAACATTTATAACGAACTAGACCCAAGTTCCAAAATTTTGATTTGGAAAATATGTTAATGTTTAAATAATGTTTATTTGAGATGGACGTCCACTCATCAAATACCAAGCTAAATCTTTCACCGTCTCTATAAAATTTTTGAATTTCTTCCACAACGTTCTTTTGAATACCTTTCTGGTAATTAAGCACCATACTTCGAATCGTCTCCCGCGATCTAGGTACGTGGAAACCGTTTGAAATCATCAATTGTCGCAAGTCAGCCGACTTAACAAATGCTGAAAAGGTAAATCCGTCGACTGCAGTCATTCGCGCTAAGTCTCAAGAGTATTTTGAGCTTTACTTGGAAAAAAGTTTACAATCTTTTGCTGCTTGCCAGGAACATGCTCGGGCGACTCATCACGTTCATCTCCCTTAGGCACAATGTTTGAATTGTGTGTTTTTAAATGCGTGTGTAAGCCCTTAGTGGATCCACCTTTCGTTTGTAAGATTTTGTTGCACTTTTTGCATTTGGCTACCTCACTTTTGTCTCTAGTAACCAAATAATGATACCATACCGACTTGGCATCGTTTGCCTTTGTTTCGTGTGGAACGAATGCTGTAAAAAGGCAATCAATTTAAAAACTCAAATGTAATGTGGGTTTTACTTACACTGAGCATTTGAGCAACTGGCGGTTTCACTCATAATCCCTTCTGATTTTTAGCTTTGTACAAAATCCTTAATTGAATTTACGAAATTATTAAGCAATAGTTCTGTGAAAATCAGCTGTTGCATATATTTTCAGTTGACAATGTGGCACACTCATAGCTTTTAGCAGGGCAAAAAGGGGAAATTTTATGTTGAACTAACCGGCCATTTACACGATCAAGAGATTGCTTTCAAGTTGCAATTTTAAGCATCTTGAAACTGAAACTGACTCAAGTTGCGTGCAGCTACGTCGAAGCTGTCAATTCTAATGAATTTTAACAAGCAGTATGTGTGATCAACTTGAAAACAAATTCTTGATCATGTACCTGCACAGTAAATGTTAACCAGCAGAATGTTAACCAACAGAACAGCAGAAGTCGATTAAGTAACATTTTTGAGCTAACTGTAAAAATATAAGTACATATACATATACATATATGGTTAAACTCACAGCTTTTAATACACTAGTAAATGATTTTTTTAACCTCATTTGTAAAAATTTTTGAACAATAAAAGCTTACTCCGTTCGACTGAATGAGTTGATTTATTTGTAAATATTACCAAATGATGCAGTGTTCAATTCAAATCAATTTACGCCATATTATATAACTGAAATATAACAAGTTTCTTGGAAATTTAAAAGATTTTATTTTAATAAAATTTTGTAATAAACAAGTTCTTACTTTCAATCCGATATTTAAAAATGGTCGGGAACCCGGGATTAATACAAGCAAATCNACAAGTAAATCCCGGGATTTTCGGGACCTGAAAAACACCGGGATCCCGGGATTGGCATCCCTAGTGGGAATGTCTTGGGGTAAAATCGGCTGAGTTGATGTGGCAAGATGTCGCTGAGATAGAGTAATCGTGTTCGTGGTAGACTCTTGCGCTGGTTTCGATGGTTGAGTCGTCGTTTGCGGCGGATCGTCGATATTATCAGATTCGATGAACGCCGGTTTAAGCCTGTCGATGGAGATGTTGATTTTATCGCGGTTTATTTTAACTGTGAAGTGCTTATTTTGTCTGGCCACTACAAGATATGGTCCATCATATGGTGGTTGAAGCGCCGCCCGTATCTTGTCGTTTCGCGCAAACACATGGGTTGCGTCCGCTAGCTGCTTGAACACGAATGGTTTGGTTTTGTCGTGGTTTGCTGTGAGGGTTGGACGTATGTCTTGCATTACATCGGCAAGTTGTTTTGCGAACTCGGACTGTGGTTGAGGACGGCATTCGTCAAAAAACTCTCCCGGCAAGCGTAGTGTCGTGCCGTAGACGAGCTGAGCGGCTGTTGTACCGATGTCCGGCGTAAATGCGGAGCGCAATCCGAGCATGATCATCGGTAATCGATTTGGCCAATCATACTTTTTTTGACACATGATGGATGCTTTGAGCGATCGATGCCATCGTTCCACGATGCCATTTGCTTGTGGGTGATACGCTGTCGTACGGAGGTGGGTGATGCCGAGCATGCGAGACAATTCATTGAACAAGTGTGACTCGAATTGCCTGCCTTGGTCGGTAGTGATGCGCGCTGGGATGCCAAAACGTGCAAACCAGATACTTACAAGTTTTTTCGCGACCGTCTCTGCTGTCATGTCCCTGAGCGGTACTGCCTCTGGCCATCGAGTGTATCGGTCGACAATTGTGAGACAGTACAGGTATCTCCCGGCCTGTGGGAGAGGACCAATAAGGTCGACATTGATGTGCTCGAACCTCTGCGAGGGTAACGCTATTGTTTGTAGTGGTGAGCGAACATGCCGGCTGACCTTTGCTCTTTGGCAGCTGGTACATCGTAGGACGAAATCGGAGATGTCTTTACCCTTATTGGGCCAAACGAAACGAGATTTTACTAGCTTAGTGGTAGCGCGCACCCCGCCATGAGAAAGACTGTGCATCTTGCTGTTGATGACTTTACGGTATGATCGCGGTATAAATGGACGAGCCCTTGCTGTTGCGATGTCGCACTAGATTGTAACGTTTGTGCCAGGTATACGAATTTGTTTTAGCTGAAGTGACGTTTGATTGCTATTCAAAAATCCTTTTATTTCCTGGCAGTCTAACTGGGCTTCGGCGATTTTATTGTAGTCTATTGTTGTTGCTTCTATAGCTTCAATGCGTGAGAGCGCATCGGCTGTAGTGTTTTTTGGACGCCCGAAACGTGGATGATATTGGTCGTGAATTGGCTGACGAAATCTAATTGGCGTATCTGGCGGTGCGAAGCCTTGTCAGGTTTTTGGGCAAAAGCGTAAGTCAATGGCTTGTGGTCCGTGCGTACTTCGAACGTCCTTCCTTCGAGAATGCCTCGAAAATGTTTGATTTCCAGGTACACCGCCAGCAGTTCCCTGTCATAAGTGCTGTATCTTTGTTGTGTCTCTGTTAGTTTAAGGCTGAAAAACCCCATCGGCTGAAACTCGTTGTTGACAATTTGGTGTAGTACGGCACCAACGGCTGTGCTGCTGGCGTCCGTACTAAGCGAGGTGCGTGCATTCGGCGCTGGGTGTACCAAAAGTGCTGCATTCTCGAGCTGCTTTTTGCACTCGTTGAAGTGGTGAATTTTGTCGTCGGTCCAGTTGATTGGGGGGTTGTGTCGTTTCTCTTGTGGCCTGGTATTAATTGAACGAGCGGTGCTTGGTGCTGTACTGCGTGTGGGAGGAATCGACGATAAAAATTTACCATTGCCAAAAATCGACGCAGTTCTTTGGAGATTTTAGGGAGTGGAAGGTTTATGATGCCTTGCACTTTGGTTGGTAAGGGCTTGAAGCCCTCGGAGGTAAACGTGTGCCCGAGGAACTCGATGCTTGCTTTTGCGAACACACACTTCGCCGGGTTTATCGTGACATTATGTTGTCGGAGAAGTTCGAAAACCTTCCGCAGGTGAACTTTGTGCTGGCGCGTATCATCGGAGGCGATGCAGACGTTGTCAATGTAGACGAAAACGAAATCGAGTCCACGGAAGACTGCGTACATAAACCGCTGGATCGTCTGGGCGGCATTGCAAAGACCGAACGTCATGCGCGTAAACTCGAAGAGGCCAAAGGGCGTTGTTATCGCCGTCTTTGGGTATATCGGAAGGTTCTATCGCGATCTGATGATACGCTCAGTTGAGGTCGACTTTCCTGAAGACCTTTTGGTACAAGAAGTGCGTAAAATCTTGGATGTGAGGCAGCGGGTACCGGTCTGGTACTGTTCGCGCGTTGAGCGCGCGATAGTCGCCACACGGGCGCCATTCGCCATTTGCCTTTCGTACTAAATGCAAGGGAGAAGCGTATACGCTTTTCGATGGGCGACAGGTTCCGAGCTTGATTAGGTACTCGAACTCGTCCCTCGCAGCTTTGAACTTGTCTGGGGTAAGACGCCTCGGCTTGGTAAAAACCGGCGCTGCCTTTGTCTCGATGCAGTGCCTGACACCTGTTTGATCTGCCGCTGGTCATGACGTGTTGAGATGTGTGATTTCTTGGAACTCGCGGAGCAAATCTGCGACCTCGGATGATTCGTCGTACGTCTTGATACATGTGAACCCTTCAAGGCTGCAAACGCCTGCCCGAGACAATGTTGTTGTGTCGATCAATTTTGATTTTGCTACATCGACGACCAAGTTGAAGTATTTGAGGAAATCGATTCCGATGATTGCGTGTTTGGTGTCGGCTACCACGAAACTCCACGTGAAAGCACGTCGAAGGCCGAGGTCAAGCGTTCGTCGGGTAGCGCCGTAGGTTTTAATGGTGGTGCCGTTGGCTGCGAAAAGCGGATTATGTGCACACTTTGACGAACGACATGCTCTTGTTGAGGGTACCACCGACACCTCCGCGCCGGTGTCAATCAGAAATTGTTCGCCCGTTTTAGCGTCTTTAATAAAAAGTCGGTTAGAGTTTGAGAGATTTTCGGCTTTTACCTGGAGTTCGTATTGACGTTGTTTCACCCTATGGCTGTTGAACTGTCTTATTGTCGGGAGTTTGCTCGATGTTGTCTCTTTCCCGAAACTCAAGCTTTTGAGCTTCGGTTGAAATTAGTTTTTTGCTGCTTCTGACGGTTTGTGAAAGTCGCACGGGCTTAAGCACTTACGGGCTTGAGTACCGTACTCTCGATGATACCAGCAAGTAGGTGCTTGCTGCCTGCTAGCGCTGCGGTGTGGTGTGTTAGAACGTTTAGCGGCGGCTTGGGAGCGTTCTCGCTGACGGCTACGGCTTGAGGGCAAAAGTTGGTCGAGTTTCTTATTGATGGCATCGAGCAGGGCGTCTTGCTTTTTTACATGTTTTTCGAGTGTTACCACTCGTTCATCGGATGTTTCGATTACGGCGACGTAGGGCTTCGAAAATGTTGAAATGCCAGCGTCACGGCTTAAAGCGTCTAGAACTGCGTCGGCGGTAATTGCATTTGTTTAAGCCAATACTGCTGGATAACTGATTCGTCCTTGGTGGCGTTTGTACGCTGCATCTGGCTGAGCAACTGACTGGGTTTTCCGTCGCCTATTTAGTTGGATCCCAGTTAACTTGTCCAGACGTGCCATTGCTGAGTCACTAAGTTTCTGTATATATTGCCTTTTTTAGTGTCGAATATGGGGCCACGGTTGGTTGTGAGCGAACTAAGTCGAACACTTGGTCGAGAATATAATCCTCTGCATGCGCGATTATGGCTGTGTATTTATCCTTTTCCTTGCGCACACCAAATCCATGAAGCTCAAACCAAGCGTCGATTTTTATAAACCACGATCCCACTTGAAATTTGTAATTGAGCTTGGGAAACGGCAACTTACCAAAAACTGAATTTATTTGCGGTGTATCGTTGCAGTCGACGCTTGCACTGGCGCCTATGCTGCCGCTACCACTGCCATCTTGGTATATTAGTACATTTTACTTATTCCATGGCAGTATTGCCATGTTTCTACTATTTTGTACTTATTGCTATTACACAGTGATTACACTACTACAGCTCGGCCAATCTGACCTAAATGATCGGCCCGATCATACGTTACAAACTAAATATATATATGCTTACAGACTATTTCTACGTCTATTCTTAAGTGTTGCGTTCAGTCATATACCCGTGCCCTTCTCTGCTCTTCCATGGTTTAATGTGACATGCCTCGATTATACTCTTGTATGGTATTTGAGTAATTTGCCCATTTTCAATGTCCCTTACCACATACCGGTCATTAGGAAGTTTCTTATGGACTAAGTACAGCCCCTTAAACTTGGGCAGAAGCTTCTTGTTAACGCCTACGTTTGTGTCTATATTTTTGATCACCACGAAATCGCCTTCTTGAAACGAGTTTACCCTTACGTTCTTCTGCTCACTTCGATCTCAGTTATACTTTTGCAATTTTTGTATACTTTCTTCACCGCCGTTGCGTATTTTCTCTAAATCCCTCCCCACGGGCCTGAAATGTACTCGTCCAGATATTCTGCGAGTTTATCTATAGTTTCACCACGTTGTTTGACGCCGAACAATGCCTGGCTTGGTGTTACCCCAATCGATCTATTTGTCGAGTTATTTAGTGCGAATTCTATCTTATTTAACTGTTTCACCCAATCTGAATGAGTTACCGGGTCACTGAGTTTTGCCAACATGCCTATTAAGCTTCGGTTTACCCTTTCTACTTGCCCATTTGCCTGCGGGGAATGTACTGCTACTTTTATGTGGGTTATATTTTTATTTTCTATATATTCTTCGAATTCTTTTGATGTAAAACAACTACCTCTATCTGTTATACATCTTTGAGGCCGACTATAGTATTCAAAATATTTATTAAGTGCAGCGATCACTTCTTTGGTGCTTGTCGTTAAGACTGGGTACAATTTCACCTATTTGGTAAATGCATCGATTATTACCAAAATGTGCTTTCGCTTCGATTGCAAAGACGGAAGTGGGCCTAAATGGTCTAAATGTATTGTGTGAAAAGGTTTTGGATGCTTTGGAATATTGTGTAGCTGTCTTGCGTTTGGGTTGCTAGGGGCGGAGTACATAATACATTTTAGGCAATTCTGTTTAAAATTATTTATTTTATTTTTCATATTTGGGAACCAGTAGTTCATCCTAATTTTTTGGTAACACTTTTCGACACCTTGATGCCCTAACTGCTCGTGTGTGTTTCTCATTATTTCGTTTTCGAGTTCTTTCGAAACATATAATTTTAGAGTGTCGTTGTCTTACCTATATATAACGCCATTTTCCATGGCAAAGTTTTTCATATTCTCATTTTCCAACTTATTTTTCAGATTCACTATATCTTCATCTCGAGACTGCAAAATTTGTAGTTGAAAGTCTAAGTCTTCGCTATTGATTACCCCTATTATATTTTCGCAGTCGAAATCATTTCTGCTAAGTGCGTCTA